TATATATATATATATATATATATATATTTCCGTGCTTGCAACGGCGAAGGATTAAGAGGACACATATTAATATTGTAACTAAAAATAGTAACATCTTAATTAATTAAACAAAACAAGCTTACTTAATCTAGTAGCCCACCGAACTGAAAAATTGAGTATACTATTTATCTATAAAAAAAACAAAAGCTTTATACGTTGGCAATTTTAATGTTTTTTTTTTTTTACAAAAGTACTATTTTTTTAAATTTCTGAAATGAGTAATTTTAAGAAAAATTCAAAAATGGGTAAATCATGTTTATGAAACTCGATTTGCCAAAATATTATTGCTTCTATTTCATAATATATGTTGTACAAGAAAAAAAAAAAGTGTCATTTTAATTTTTTAATATAATATTAATTAACCTTTTTTATTTATGATCTAATAATATTGTTTAAAAAAATTATTGTGTTGCCTCGTTTCATGTAATAGAGATTAATAATAATTTTAATTTAAAAAATTATTGTTATTATTTTTATCTATTTACTAATCTTTAAATTCAATTTTTTTTTCTTCAAAATTACTTTTGGGTGAAATTTTGTAAGAATTGTCTATCAAAAATTAATTACTTTGTAATAAAAAAAATTCAGTGTGAATGTTGAGATTGAATTGAAGGTTGAGACTTGAGAGGATTAATTGTCGCGCTTATGACCGGGTAATTTACTAATTACTATTGTCAAGGTATAGAAGTAGCTAAATTCAAGTTTTTAAAACCATCCAACACTTTTTTATTATTATTGTAAATTAACAATAAAAATCAACAATTATTGATGGATTGTGTAATTACTAATTACCGATCGATGGCTTTTACATATTAATATTACAATTTTTTATTGATTAAAATCAGTCACAAACGTATATTAGCATAAAGTATTTAATAATTTTATCGATAATTAATTTTTGTCAAAAAAATTTGATTAATCACTTTTAATAAAATCTCTTCTCCCAATTTTTTTTTCCACACAAAAATAGAAAAATATTAAGTATAACATTTTAATATTTCATTTGATAACCTACTGCTACTGTATGCATATTGTCATATATTAAGTTCTTGTTCCCTAAATTGAAGAAATACAAAAATAAGTCTTTGATCTATTTTCTGCTTGCTGGTCACAATAATCCCTACCAAATGATTAATAGGGATCCATGATACTTGATAAGGCATGTAGATGTCCAAGACAAAAATTATAGGTCGAGGACATATTTGTGACTCTTAATTGTGACCATTAATATATAAGTTTTTAACTTAATTGATTGAATAATGTATATGTAAATGGTTATAAATTTCAATAGTATTGGGTTTATTTCATACAAATGCTAAAAAAAAATGCAAGACGTGTGAAGAAAAAAAGTTTGCAAATATTTTATTGCTAATAGAATATAGAACATGAAAAATATTTTTAGTGATGTAAAGATTTTATTTAGGATACAGTGAAAATGTGTCCCACCCATATGCACGGTTCTTCTTGCAACAACATTATCATCCTTGTAGTGCGTTTATGGCTTTGTCCGTAGGAAAAAGACACCCAAACAAATGTGTGATGCACAAAGTAAACCATTTAAGAAAAAAAAAACACTTTACAGTGGGGTCATTATTTATTATTCAATTACCTCAAATATTTTACATGGATCAACTTAGACAAGCTTAATCAATCATCTGAAATTCGTGTATTGACTATTCAGTATACAATTATATTTAAATAATAAAGAAAAATGTCATCCATAATTATTCTATCAATTTGAACAAATTTGAATCTATTATAAGATACACGCGGTGCATAGTAAAACTAACAAAAATAAAAGAAAATTAGAGTAAAAAACAAGTATAGCCAAATGCGAAATATTCTAGCTAGGTTGAAATTAAAAACATAATGCGAAACATGTGTAAATATTTTTATTGCTCATTATGTTTGTTTGACATTAGATATGGATCTTTTGCACATTAAGATTTAAAAATTTTCTCTGTCCTATGTCCGAAGCCGAATTATCCTCTCCTTGAAACGGATCTACTATCTTACTCTAAACACTGAAATAAAAAAATATTGAAGAAATAAAAGAGGGAGAGAAAGAAAAAAAAATTCTAGTGGAGAGAATCCGGGTCGAAGAAAAACAACTACAACCCTATTGAGTGGACAAAGCTCAACACTCAAACCTGCAATTGACATATACAAAACTTTTGCACGTGAATTTCTAGTTTGGATGCAAATAATGTTAATAAAAGAATTTTCTTATTTTGTTGTATCAAGTGCAATGCAATGCACGCATTAATTAGTTGGTGTCGGTGACTAATTTGGCTTTGGCCGTGAAAGGAACAGACGGTGATCGAGCATTTCGTAAACGCATCTAAAGTAAAAACGATAAATAAAATTAAACCAATTCTTCTTCCCCTCTCATAATCTATTTCTTTCTCTTCACATTAAGCCATAAACTAACCTAGTAATAGAATGGACAAATGAAGGTTGTTCTATGTGGTCCTATTTTTAAAAAATAATGTAACAACGACCACAAAACAATACGTGGCTTAATTGTCAGCATCTCTTACATAAATGCCTATCCGGTTGATTGAGTTTTTTTTTTCAATGGCTAATTAAGTGTGAGTTTGGTATATTGATATTATTATTGATTGTATATAGTTTTGAAGAAAAGTTCCAAGAATCATGTTCTGTTGAAACAGTATTAATTTTAAAGTTTGAAGAGAACAGAGAAGGCAGTTTGTTGAATCGTGCTTCCATACTCACCTCACATAGTCACATAGCATATCTATCTAACATGGAGTACATCTCTCACATTCATCATGCATATACACTCTAGCACACTAACCCTAATTAAAAAGGAAATGCCACTAGACTCTAGCCTTATTTACAAGTTACCATAAATGGTGTAAAGTCAACAACTAAGAGCCTATCCATTTTGCATCCTTAACCAAAAATGAAAGGAACCTATTTTGGGAGTAACAAACTCTTACGCATCCAAATGCACCCTTCAATCGAATCAGGATTGCAGAAATGAATCACGTTTTGGATTAAACTAAACCCAAAATAGCTTCTTTTACGCCGCACCAAGTAGAAGGCCTCGTTTGGGTGGTAAAGCAAAAGACATAACAGCGTAACAAGCACGTTTTTCTGCCCTTTCTGCTTTTAGAAGCTGGAATTTTGAAAATATTGCTTATGCCTTATAGTATATTAGTAATTGCCAACGCGTTCATTGCTGGAGTCAAAAAGACCTCAAGCACATGCACTCATCAATGCCTTTCACAGCAACCCTGTACATCGATCTCGCCTCTCAAAAAAAAAATTTTTTTAGTTTCATTATTCATTTCATCCTTATTCAACTGTTTTGTTCTTTATCTTTAACCCCGCAATAAATTAAACCTTACTATTTTTATATACAAGATTAATTCAGTAAAATATAGAAAGTAAATGAATTAAACCTTCTTCTCTCTTCGTTTCTCTAAGCAACTAATAAAAAAATATTGCAAAATTCAATAATAACTAAAGAAATACAAGTATGAAGGTGAAACTTTATGGGAATAGACAGAAAATTTTATTTAACATGCCCTGATTCCATTAGACCGTGACGAAATTTTATTAATCATGGGAGCATCGTGTTGCATGGTCAAATGTTGTGTCAGTTGAATTGATTTGCTTCCAGATGAACAAAACAGAACACAGTGCTGGTGCATAACTCTTGGATGGAAGAATACAAAAATGTAATTCCAAGATGAATAAGTATATACAGAAATGGTCAGAGTAAAGCAAAATTAATTTCCGTAATAATAATAAATAAAAAATAATAACATGAATTTCCTTATTATTGTTTCCCTCGTGTTATTTTTTATTTGTTTTTTTCTTATTATTATTATCCTAATTCCTAAGTAATTAACAATCTGTATAGACAGAAGAATCGAGGAGAGAGGAACATATTTGGGTCATGATGACATGATTAAGGTCGTGATTACTGACACCTCGTTGAAGCATGGCGGAATCTGAAAACGACGTGGAAGAAGCAGCTGCCTCGGGTATTGACTCCGTGGAAACAATCAAATTAACGTTTCTATTCTTTAAGAGAAACTGGCTCCCGGCGACGAGTTGACTCAGCACCGCCGACTCGGAGACGGCGTTTTTCCTCTTCCTGTGCTGCGTGGCGGCGCGAACAATCTCGACCAGAAGAGCGGCGGAGAGGCGGCGCACACCCCGAGCGCCGCCGATGACGAGGGTGGAGAGAAGGTGGGCCCTCTTGGCGTGTTTGTCGGGTTTGTTGAAGAGAAGGACGGAGTCAGGGGTGCGGTTTCTGAGTGGGGCGAGTGGGTCTTTGAGGATTAAGATGTTTTTGACGTCGACGAGCATGAGGTGTTTGAAGTTGCGTCTGACTCGGCCGAGGAGCATGGGGTAGCAGGCCCAGCGGCGGAGAGAGAGTGGGACGCGGTCGAGGAAGCCGGCGAGGGAGTTTTCGGGGTCGAGTTCGGTGGCGTCGAAACTGAGTACCGATCCGTAGGTGAAGGAGTTGGTTGAGTTGAGTTGGGTTCTGGTTTTGGTTTTGGTGCCCCAGAGGGGTTGTTGTTGTTGTTGTGGGGGGGTTTTGGAGTGAAAGCGGTTGGGGTGGAAGGTGGATTTGGGGTGTTGGAGCCAGCGCGTGGAGTTGAGGTGCGCGTGGAGGTGGAGGAGGGAGGAGAATGCCTGATTCTCCTGGCGGATAATGGGGGAGAATTTGGGGGTGTGGGAGGGGGAGGGGAAGAGGAAAACGACGTCGGAGGATGCGGTGAGGGAGGAGCGGTGGAGGAGGCGGAGGAAGAGGCGGAAGTGGTGGAGGGGGGTTTCTTCGGGGACGTGGCAGATGATGAGGTCGGGCATGGATTTGGTGCCTCTGCGGTGGAGGGTGCCCATGCGTTGGAGGGCGTGGGGTGGGGGGTGGGGGTGTGAGAAGGTGTGCGTGGGGGTGTGAGTAGGAGTGGGAAGGGTGGAGAGAGTAAAGAGGAGGAGGGTGGTGAATAGAAGGAGTGCGCAGATGGAGATGGTGGATTGGGCTTTGGAGAGGAGGGATTTGGAGGGGGTGGGGAAGGTGAACTTGCTTTTGTGGCTGTCTTGGGGGAACAGAACTAGAAGCATACCCATGCCACTTCCACTACCTCCACCACCACCAACATCAACATCAATGCCCTTCTCTTTTCTCATTCTCTTCTCCTATGCTATGCCTATGCTTGCATTGCTTTCCTGTTGTGCTTCAGTTGCCTCATTTGCTTCACACTTCACACTTCATTATACCACTACACCTCTTTCTCCATCTTTTTACTTCTCTCCTACAAAATAATCACTCATTTTTCATACCTACTACTACTGCATAATATAATACTCTAATTATTTTTTATAGTCGTTTGTTGTTTTTTTTTCATCACGTTACTAAAATCAACGAGTTATTAATTTTTTTCTTCTATTTTTATCCTTGATAATTAATACATATTTCTTGAAAAATGTGTATATTTATTTTTAATATCTACCTAATTTTTGTCTAACTACTCATATAAAGTTAATGTGCATTTATAAGAGCAATATGTTCCCAACAAAATACTATAAAAAAACAAAAAAAGAGACAACTATTTAATGGAGTAGTTCAACAGTCTAAAAAATATAAAAAAAAAGAAAGATAAAATAAGAAAGTAAGTAATAAATATTTTTTAAAACTAAAATATCAATAATTTCTTTAATTTCCGTGCAAAATCTTAAACGAGTATGAAAAAAAAAATTAATCATCCTTACTTCTTCCCTACAAAATAATCTCCTCATTTTTCAATAAACGACAATTTTTGCGTCTACCATCTTCCAAGACTCAATAAAAATACACCATACAACACATATACGGAGGAATCACATAATTTCATACGTAATTACACAACTATCAGGATAATATATATATATATAAATTTAAATATAAAACTGATTTTTTTAGATTAAAATTTTGTTACATTGATTTTAATCATTTATACTTTAAAATGTTCATTATAATTTTTTTATCTCTTAAATTTAAATTAATTTAATAATTATTTTTAATTTTAAAATATGATTTTGGATATATTTTTGGCCAATTCAAAACTTTAAATTTGTCACATTTAAATTCATTTATATAAAAATTTCTGAACATAATTTAAGTTTAAACAAAAAAGTACTATACATATGTTAAAAATTGTATAAAAATAAGTTTAAAAAATAATTAAACTTTTAATTTAAAAAATATACCATACAAATAATTAAACATAATTTATCTTTTATTTTTTTTTAAATGATATTTTAACTATACTTATTTAATTTAAAAATTTTAATCAAAAATATGTTTTATTGTATATATCAAAGTCTTTATAATATGTTTAACACAAATACGCAATAGGTTAAATAAAAATCTTATATATAGATATATAGAATAGGATAGGATAAGATAGATAACAAGATAAAGATAAGGTAATTATGTTTTATTAATGCACCAAACAACTTATTGTAAAGTGTTAAGATAACTATTTTATTTTATTCAATTAAGATTTTTTTATTATAAATGTGCTTTTAGTTCAATTATTAATATATCTTTGTTGTACCTTCTTTATACACAAAATTATAATAAGGATCTTCGATAAAAAAAAATGTTTTGAGAATTTATCTTTCTTCAATAATAATATTTTTAAATTTTTTTTTTTCTTAATCTCTTTCAACTTAATGTTTTCTATCTTTATTTCTAAATTGAAATCCAGTATTTTTTATAAAAAAAAATGAATGGTTTACAGTGTATTGATTTATGTTTTTGTTTTCAAACAATAGTTTAAGTATATATCATCCTATAATTTTTTATTAGTTTCTATTTTCATCCATTAATAACTTAATTGATGATAGGTTTATCTCTTGTATCAGTATGGATAAAACATAATAAAATGCAATTAAGATAGTCCTAAATATAAAAGGAAGATTAGTAGTTTTTTTAATTTTGTTTCTCACTAAATTAGTTATTTTAAAAATTACCATAACTTTAATTTTTATAAATTTTATCATCATATAAATCTCTTAATTTATTTTTTTGGGCAAAAGCAACAAAAGCTCCCAAACTCAACAACCTCTAAAAAAATTGTACTAAAAGAAGAAGCCAAAAGAATAAAAGATAAAAACATAGTAGAAGCATAAAAAATATGATCCTGTATTATACTAGTCAATCCATATATACTTAGGTAGAGTTTGACACTTAATTAGGCTCTTGGTACATATGTAAGAACTATACCCTAAATCTAGTCAACATTTTCATCTCCTGAATCTAGGGCTGCTCAAGTTTTCAATCTCCTCAACTAAACTAAAATAAGAATGATTACACTCAAAACCATCAAGATTCATAATTATTTGGTCTACGAATAAAATGTTATGGAAGTTGGAAGCCCCTACTACCCATCAAAGACAACTCCTTTTTAATGTCTCATAATTTGGCCTGAATTACAGAGCAACAATCAATGTTCGTTGGGAACTACTATGATGAAAACCATGAAATAATATTACTAGTACTTCTTTAATTAGTTCTCCTCAAGAACTAATAGAAACAAATACTAGTAGATGTTTTCCTTAAAAAAAATATATTTTATCATCAAATTAGATTCTTAGTTTTATTTCCACCACATTATTTGTCCTTAAGAACTGATATGGTCACATCTATTTTTTTTAATGAACTAATTTGATATAAAATCAATTTTAAACTTTTATAGGAGTAATCTATTTTTCAAATAACTAGCATGTAGTTTCCTCAACTCACGACAAATATTAGTTCACCAAAAGCTTTTTTCTGTTTTGTAATTAAAATTTATGAATTGAAACAAAAAGCCACATTGATAATAAATTTTTTACTATATTATCAATGTAAGTATCTATTAGTTTTGCTTATATTTTAATAATTTTTTTAGCTATATGTTTTTTATCAAATCGAAATTTTGGATAAAAAATATGAATTCAATTATAGTCATATCAATACTTATTAATAATAATATTTTATCAATAAAAATTACATATCACAAATGTAAATTAATCTTTTGATTATTGATTTTAAGAATCGTAAAAATGAGAAGTAAAAAAAATATTGTTGATAGTTGTATTGTTCATAAATGAATCTGTGGTTGAAAACTAAAAGTACAGGTCATGTCATGGGTATGATGAATCTGAGAAACATAACATTGAATGCTATGAAATTGCTCGGGACACACAGAACAAAGCCAAACTCAAAGCAATAACTTTTAACAACCAAGAACAAAAGTCACAATTGAAAAGGCATAGTCGAATTGAATTATTGATAGTCCCGCCACAATGCTAGGTAAACAAAATTAACGAATAATTTAATAAAGTTAAAAGTCACTACTAGCTAAAAAGATTAAAAAAAAGTTAAAAGTTGGTAAGTTAATTAAATAAATTAATAAATATTAATTATTGTATTAGTATAAATTAACGTAAAATGATCTAATTAATTGTCGTACAATGTAAGTATTGTACACATAGTAGTGATACAATTTATAATTATAATACAATTGTATGAGTAAAATTTTATTTATTTAATAAATTTTTGTTATAGAAAAAAAAATAATGCACATGCTAAAATCTAAACTACTAATAATAGAATGAAAATAAAATTAAAAATTCAAACCTTACAAGCACGAAACACTAAACATACAATTTGAAAAAAGTCGCCCGAAGAAAAATCCTTTGACTCTGTTTTACTTCTCGATCCTAGGAGGTGCTTTATTAAGCCAAAAAAATTAAGTGTAAAATTAATAATATCTTCTTAAGAGTATAATTATGTGTTTAAAATTTAAGTGTAAACCCTGTAAAAAAAATTAATTGTATTACTGTTCTCGTGTAAAAAAAATAAATATCAAAAACACAATCAAAGAGATACTAATATTTTTAATATATTTATTTTTTTTGTAGTCTTACAGATAGTGCTGTTTGTAAATTTTAATAATACATTTATATGAAAAAAAGTAAATATTTAAATTTTAGTAATAAATAAATAATGTAATGTGTACGGTGAGTGTGTCCCTACAGTAAAGAAGATACACATTACACACATTATTGTATAATTGGAAGCAAAATTAAAGTACAGCTTATTTTTCCTGCCGACAAAATAGGACAACTTCGAATATGCAAAAACGTTACTGTTTGGTTCCGTTTTTTAACTTGCAATTTTGATTCTTCTTATATTTTCTTTCTTTTACATCTTTCTAATATTATTAATTATTCATAAGTTTTTTTAACAAGAAAAATTCTCCTAAATTTTTTTCTTTTTACCTTAAAAATGCTATATTATTTATTTCTTTATTTTTATTCATTAGAAAATATTTCTTCTTTCTATTAATTAATAACAAACTTGAGATTGCACAATCTACGTTAATTTTTTATTATTATAAATAATGGTATAATTTGATGGGTTTACTTAGTGATTAAATATTTTACACTCACACTTTATGTAGATGATATATCATAAACAAATTTATATTTAATCATGTTGTGTGTGAAAATTGCAACATTATGAACTTTTATGATTGCTTAGTTATTTTATTAATTAAATGATTATGTGATTAGTTGTTATAAAATTTAAAGGATTAAGAAATTCTTATGAGTTTAGTTGTTCATAAATTATTTTGAGTTGAGGTCAAAGTTAACCAAATTTAAGATAAGACATATAAGTTTTTTTTTTAGAAAATTTTAAATTTCATAAGTTCATTTAAAAAAAACTTAGAGATTTTCTTAAAAGAGAAGTTAGAAATTAAGAGAAGCTTTAGAGTCAAAGAGAATCATTTCTTCTTTTGACTGTGCAATAGTAATCAAACTCTTCACCATAACTAAGTTCTGTTGAAAGATTAAAGGATTCAAAGCTTGGAGAACTAAGAATCAGAGTATAGGAGTTGATATGCAGAGTACCTCGGATGACCATATTCTCTCTCTTCTACATTTTTTATAATAGATTTCAAGTAAGAAAAGCTTGTATAAGTGTTTGATTATTATTGTGTTATATAAATTGAGTGTAGCTCAAATTCATTTTTTATGGTTGTGTTGTGATTTGATAAGGAAAATATCTTGTTTTTTTAGTTTTCAGAAATTTGGGAGAAGAATTGATAATTATGAATTTTTATGAGTTGCATGTGGGGATTGTTGCTTCATTTGAGTTACTTGTGGTGTATACTTGTGACTTTTTGTGTCGCATATTGGTTTGAGGTTGATTTTCAACTATTTAGAACCAATTCACAATTTTGTCAAGTGCAAAATTCATCATCGTGCCAAGCGCACATCTTCATGGCACCAAACATGGT